ACATATCACATAATGTCTGTGCTCTTTCCATTTGTTTTATAGTATCTAATAGGATTCTCCAGTCTAGGGAGGTCTGAGCTGCCAGGCCGTGGACAGCACAGTGGTTAGCATATAAGCCGGCAGCACTGGAGTCCCCAGTTCAAATCCCAGTTTTCATACTCTGTTTTCCTCCCGCACGCCAAAGACATGCTGGTAGGTTAATTGGCCCTAGTTTGTGTGTATGCATGTGAGATAGCGAACTTGGAGTGTAATCTGTTTGCGGACAAGGACTGATGTGTATGTACAGTAAGCATGGCACTGCACAAATTGTCAGTATGTAAAAAGCCTGTAATGGTAAATAAATATTATATGATCCCATGGGAATATTGGAGTGACTTCTGGAGGGAAGTGTTTGAACAGCAGAATTGTATCCTGTCATCTTTTGATCTCTCATAGTCTATATCAGCCTTTCTCAATTAGGGTGCCTTCAGGTTTCTTCAGGGGTGCCTTGGCAAAATGTCTAAAAATTGCCCAAAACTTGTATGCAAGCTAGTGGGTGGAACAATCCTGCCTTTTAGTTACACAAAGCCACAGGATTTCATTGTGCGCCATTACAACCTTCTAGCTGCCAGCGTCCCCAAAAACAATGACATCATCAGTTGATAAGGAGGATGTCAGCTGCCTGCACAACATTCTAGTTTGTCCCTCTCCTGCCCCTCTCCATCAGTGCTGGGGTCACATTAGCTCAGTGATGGAGAAAAACTGGGAGAAGAGGAACACTGGAATACTACTCAATACCAGTGTGCAAAAGTGTATTTGCTGTGGAAGAATAAATCACCTCTAATGTTGGGTGTCCTACATGTGTGGATGTTGCTGTGTTATATAAAACTATTAGAATAGTTTTTCACATTTTAGAATGCAGTGCCCTTTTAAAATATGGACAGTCTAGAGGCACCCCATTTAAGAATGGGGTGCCTCAAGACGGTCTATAATTTTAAAGGGTGCCTTGGGACTGTCCATAATTTTAAAGGGTGCCTGAAAACAATTTGAGAAACACTGGGCTACATCTATTCATTAATACCTTATTCCACAGAATGATTTGCCCTGACTCTCAGCTGTGTGTCCAGCCTTGGTTTCCTTGTTCTCTCTGCAGCATTCCTCATTAAAGATACACTGCAGTAAAAATGGAAATAGTGTATTTCTACACAAATTTTTTTTTAATAAGCCCAAAGCCAAACATTTTATATTTTATTACTATTACAGGTACCTGTATAGCGCTGTCAATTTACGCAGTACTTGACATATATATTGTACATTTACATCAGTCCCTAACCCTCGAGGGGTGTACAATCTAAGGTCCCTAACTCCCATTCATACATACACATACTAGGGACAATTTAGACAGGAGCCAATTAACCTAACAGCATGTCTTTGGAGTGCAGGAGGAAACTGGAGTACCCAGAGGAAACCCACGCAGGCACAGGGAGAACATGCAAACTACAGGCAGGTGGTGCCGTGGTTGCGATTCGAACCGACGACCCTAGTACTGCCAGGCGGAAGTGGTAACCTTTTTTTGCCACTGTGCTGCCCATATATTGCGGCTTACCAATCATTAAGTGTGGTGACTGCATTCATTTCTTTAAGCCTGTTTTCACCTGATGATCTAACCAGTAGGACATCTCCTGTATTAGAGTGCCCCCACTCTGGAACGAGCACAGGAGGCACAGCAGACAGCAACATTGTTTATCTGGTTGGAGGAGAGTGCTAGATGTGTTAGCAGATTAGGTACACTAACAAACTGAAGCCAAACTCTAGTTTTACATGAGTGAATAAAAGCTGATCTTTGTAAACACCCCTGTCAGTGGTAAATGGTTTGTCTCAACGCTCTTGCTACATATCCAGGATAGGTTGTTCTGTTGAAAAATAACACTCGCTAGATTACTAGATGAAAATAAAGGAAAAAGCCCATAAAAGAAAACAAATGCAGCCATCACATCTAAGAATTGGTAAGCTGCAATATAATAAATGTTTACTTTTGTGTTTAATACTGCTTTAAAGGGGTTATAAAAGTTTTAATTTTCTTTAAAATAGTAAACACATCATACTTACCTGATCTGTGCAATGGTTTTGCACAGAACAACCCTGATCCTCTTCTTGGATCCCTTGCCGGCACTTCTGGCCCCTCCCCCCTGCTGAGTGCCCCCAGAGCAAGCTGCTTGCTCTGGGGGCAGTTGTGTGCTCGCTCCCAAGCCGCATCCATGTGTCTATGGGACACACAGTATGTGCCTCAGTCCCACCCCTGCTTCCTCCTTACTGGCTGTGTTTGACGGAAGTGGGAGCCAATGGCTCCAGCTGCTGTGTCTCAGCCAATGAGGAGGAAGAGACCTGGAAAAGCCTGGGCTCTCGTTTATAGCTGTGCTTTAAAAATGTTGTGTGAGTCAGTGAATGTTGATGAGATATTCATAGAAATTATGCTGTTTTTACAAAGAGAAGGGTTAAAAAATCTGTGTATTTCTTTGGACTTGCTCAGGGGTTTACTGTCAGCCAAACAGCTAATGATTAGAATTAGATGACGTGTCCCCCTTGGCAGGAATTTGGCAAAATTTGTCAGGACTGTGTGGGCTTTGGCTGTTTTGTGATGCTCGCGGTGATGTCAATGGGAGCTGACATAAATCCACTCTTTACCACTGTAGCCAAGTTAAAATCATAAAAAACATTCTTGGTTTTAGGAAATTAGAAATCTGTAGTCTGATTTATAATAGCAGCATTAAAACCAGTCATTATGAAATTTTCGGTCACTTTAGAAATCTCACAGTGAAGTGGTTTGTGTATTGCTTTATTTACTAAGATTTTTTTTTCCTAGTTTGGGTTGGAGTGGGAAAAGGTTAGAACCTGTCGGGTTTTTTCTTTGCCAGACAGGAAGTGAGGGAAAATCTGCAACAGGGAAATGTGCAAAAATAAAACCTGAGAGGTTCTAGCCTTTCTCTACTTAAAAAAAAAAAAACAAACAAAAAAAAACACAAAACAAAACTTTTGGATGTGTTGCTGTTGGAGCGTTTCTCCCATTTCCTGTCTGATAAAACTGTGTCACCAGAACAGGAAGTAATAGGACATCTCTCTATAAGGCCCTATTCACATTTGAGTGTTTTCTAGCTCAATTCGGGCATATTGATGTGTTTCAGAAGCATTTCTTCTCCATAGAGATGCATTGATAAGCGAGATTTGTTCGTTTTTTTTGCTCAAATGCTATAATTAAAGAAATAATAATAAATGAATAAGTATTAAACAAAATCATAAAATAAATATATATATTAAATTATTAACCCCCTAACCATAACAAAATAAATAAAATAACCCCTAACCATAACAAAATAAAATAACCCCTAACCAAAAAAAAAAATAAAATAAATTACCCCTAAATCTAACCCGAACCAAAAATAAAAATAAATATATCCCATAACCCTAAACCCAACCACTAACCCTATACCCTAACTCTAACCCTTACAAAAAATAAAAACAAAAATTAATAAATATAATATTATTATTTATGTTTAATACATAAAAAATGAACCCCCAACCCTGAACTCTAACAACAACAAAAAAAATGTAATAAAAAACAAAGAATAAGATGAAAAATATAAAAATAAAAAGCTAAAAATAGCTGAAGAAAAAGCTAACAAAGCTGAAATCATATCAAAAATTATGAAACCGATGATTTTTTTTTTCTGTTGGCCAGTAAAAAAAAAAGTAAAAGCTCAAAAACATGCAACAAAACACCTTAAGAAAACGCTCAAAATGTGACGTGCTGTGTAAATTCAGTGTAATGGTGGAAATACATGTAACAAACTAGTCGAATGATTCTTCACAGAAGAATTCACAGAATCGTACAATATGATCCTATCTATAAATGATGGAAACGATACATACTGTGTCGCTAATCATTGTCGTGTAAAACTGATTTCATTGAAGGTATTCTGATAGTTCTACACAGAAAATCTGACCTGGGATTGATATGATTAAGTGTATGTCACGTTGAACGATCTTTTCGATATTCCAGTCTTATTTTTCTCCCAGACAATAAATCGTTGGACAGTACGATTGTATATAAAATCATTCCTTGTACCACCATATTAGTAAAATCTGACAGGGGTTAGAACTCTCCCCTGCTGTATCCGAAGCTATAAAAGAAATGTGGGTATAGATACACTTTAATACAAAGTGCAATAGCAAGGATGTCATCGCAAGTGTTTTGTTTTCTGATGTCTTAATTATTACTTTTACACTTCATTCTTGAATTGTCATATTTTATTACCAGTAAATTAATGTGCTCGGCGTGTAGCTGCCATCATTGTGCACACGTTCCTGAGTTGATAACTGCACATAGAATATTCATTGTTGGTCAGAAACAATTGCAGCGTGATTGAAAGCCCAATTCTCCATTGTGATGGACACTGGGGAGGCTTTATCCAGTCACAGCGGGGGAAGTTCACTGTCTATGGCACAAAGTATTTCAAATGCTCCAGTCAATACCTGCCAACACGTTTGATTATTTTATTTTCCATAATGCTGCAAATCAATGCGGATCGCTGTGTTTTCCGGTCTCATTTAAGCTCCACCTGTCTGATGCTATGTGTGTTTCAGGCGGTGGGCTGAGCTGACAGCCAGGCTTGTGCAGAGTTAAGTGCACAGCTTGCTGTCCGCTGCCTCCCCTCCCACCTGACTCCTCGCACTGTGCAGTAGCCCATTCCTCCTTAGCAACAGTGAGATCATCACAGACTCTTTCATTGATTTCTCGCTCTCTCCTCCAGCTTTTCCCATTCTACCCTGGCTGTTCTCCCACGATGAGGTGTTGGTTTTAGTGCTTCTTAGGCCGGTGTCTCTCCAGGCTTTCTAACGGCTCGTTAAAAAAAGGAGCCTGCCGCAATGTATTTAAAGTGGGACTCCGGCCTGGGCGGCTGGATTAGCATGCCGGCTGTGACTGATGTATTCAGATATTCCTGTATGATTTGCTGGTCTTCCAGGGAGAAGACGAACGTGGAGCAAGAACTGAACGAGAAGGAGGAAACGGTGAAGAAAAGGACCAGCGAGGTTCAGGTAAGGAACTTGGAGAGAAGTGTTGCTTGTATGTGACATCAACAGCTGTCCTTCTGTTATCATAGGAATGCACACTGTAGGAATGTAGGGAGGTGTATGTACAACCACAGTAGGCACTGGGTGGTCAAAGGATGTAGACGAGATGTTTTGGGAAAGCTTAGTGAGTTTTTAGAGATTTTGAGTTTTTAAGTCATTTTAATTGGTCCACAGCAATTATGAGGAGGTCTCATCCTTATTATTAACATCTTAATTTACTTCTGTGGATAATACAGCAGGAAACGTGGGACATTATGTTGCACCATTAGTAAGAATATTGTCTCTGTTGCAGCAGAAGATGTGAGACTGCCCCTTCCATAAAAGAAAAAGTGGCATTCTTGTAGCCACTGGAGATCACTTGGGAATCTCTCTGCCTTGGCAGCATGTCTGAGACCTCCCCTGCCTGTAGGAGAGAGAAGAGTGAGACTCCTTGTTGCAGCAGGAGAGGCGAGACTTCTACTGATGCAACAGGAAGACTGATAATGAAAGGTAGAGGGAACAGAGCTATGAGCTCCAGCAGGGAGACCAGCACAACAATCATTAAGGGGTAAAAGAATAATATGGGCAATTCCATTCTACAGCATCTGCCAAAAATGGGGAAAAACAGCTTTGTCTGGGCTGTTCTCTTAGGCCCCATGTACACGGGGCACTTCTGAACGATGGAAAGTGACTGCTGGGAAATGTAGGTTAAAAAATTTCTCTTTTAGCCGTGTTTGCATATCGCATTTATGCGTGTTTATAAGCGTTTGCATTTAGAAGCGTTTTTTTTAAAGATTACCTCAGGAGACCTTCCAAAATGCCCAGAATGCACTGAAAAACAGTAAAAAAAATTACTATTTCACACATTTTGAGAGATATAGAGAGAGCAGAAGCAGAGGGAGCAGTATTCGTTGAGATTAGCTGTCTTTTTTTTTTTTGTGGTGTTTGGATGTGTTCCAGCTCATTTCTGTGCAGAAATTATTGCAGCAGTGTCTAACATATTTTCTTTCATGCAAAACCTCAAAGTATGGTGTACCAGGTCCATTTGAGTACCTGGAAAATGCTTTGCATGCATTTTTCATGATGAAAAAAAGGCTCTGGACAACATCTGGAAATGGAAGAGTTAAAAAAAAGTTCCGGGTTTACATGCGTTTACAAGCATTTGACACACTGATAAAATCTACTCCTGAACGCAAGTTTGGTGCGTTCAAAAAAATGACTGTAATCTCAACTGCCTGTAAACTACTGTAAATGAAGATGTGTACATGGACACATAGGAAAACATTAGGGAGCGTTCAGGGGCTGCTGAAAAAAACCCGCAGAAAAGCTCCTAAACGTGAGTTTATCAGCTGCAGTGTACATGGAGCCTTAAAATATATGTAAACACAATCACTAAAATCTCATACAAGCCATTAACTGTTAAAGTCATTTCAAAGTCATTGCTAAATTTGCATTAAAATAATACCTTGGGATTTTGCCATGAAGATCCTTGTGCAGGCACTTCCTGTTATAGGGTGACCGTGCCTTGTCCATGTCTTCCAGTGTTTCTCCTTCATTATCAACCTGTTCCTTCATCTCCCAATAGAAACTTATATCTCCCAATGGATGCTACAAGCCTCCATGCTGACACGTATTGTAAAGGCGCTTGGTCCAGTTTTAAAACCAAACGGTAACTTGCCCTGAGAAATAATATGCAGCAGTATCCAATTGTATGTAGACAAGAAATGGCTACAGGAAGTCATGGGAGTTGATATGCAACCTAGGATGAAAAATGGCCAAAATAATATATTATTGTTCCTATTGTATTTAGTGTTGGTTGTTTATACACAAAGATTTATCTAACTAAGGGTCCTATTTATAATAGAGTATATTGCTTTCCGCTGGACACCAGTGTTCACACTGATGCCTGCACTTTACAGTTCATTTATAAAATGCAGGCTGTGATGTGGAGCCTGCGGTGTCAACGTATACAACTCTCTCTGCTTAACTCTGCCAAGAGATCTCTGATTGGAGAAGAGGTTGACCACATGACTTTGAGGGCTCATTCACACTATTGTATTGTGAAAACACATTTTGAATGGCACCATGCGCTGCAGCGTAGCTCAACATGCGTTTTTAACTCATTCATGTGAATAGCACTCATTTGCGTCGAAATTTCAAAGCACATTTGTAAAGTAAACCGCTGTGCTTTATAAATGTTTGATATGTATTTTTTATTTTAAATCTGTGGTATTTCTATAGTAAGGCCATACCGCTACTTTGTAAATGGAGCCCAAAATGTAATTTAGTTACAGTTTATATTTACTTGCTAAACCGCGCATAGAACAGCACTGTACTGGAATCCACAGCAGTCAACGGAAGTCCGGTTTGGCCACACTTGTTAAACAAAAGTTTCCCCATTATAAGATGTGCATAAACAGCCCATGTTGCTCTTTGCTGTATTAAATTTTGTAAGACATTAATTATGTATACTCTATATAATATAATGGAACTTGTAGCTTCCCAATGGTTGTCAATCCAAAAATTTACCAATTGGCCTGTACTGTATTCTTTTACATATTCTTCACTAACCCATGTAATAGCAGATGCTTTTTTTCTGGACTGACTCCTGTTAATGGTTATTTTGTTAATTTGTGTCCTTTGGTCCTGAGCTTCCTACCCATTGCAAACTGATAAGTATTTTCTCTGCAGTTGTTTATAATGCATCCAGAAAGTATTCACAGCGCTTAACTTTTGCCACATTTTGTTATGTTACAGCCTTATTCCAAAACTGATTAAATTCATTTTTTTCTCAACGTTCTACAAACAATACCCCATAATGACAACAGAAGTTAATTTTGAAATCTTTTCAATTTATTAAAAATAAAAAAAAAATGAAAAAAAAAACACATGTACATAAGTATTCACAGCCTTTGCTTAATACTTTGTTGAAGCCCCTTTAGCACCAATTGCAGCCTCAAGTCGTTTTGAGTATGATGCTACAAGCTTGGCACACCTATTTTTGAGCAATTTCTTCTTTGCAGTACCTCTCAAGCTCCATCAGGTTGGATGGGGAGCATCGGTGCACAGCCATTTTCAGATCTCTCCAGAGATTTTCAATCGAGTTCAAGTCTGGGCTCTGGCTGGGCCACTCCAAGACATTCACAGAGTTGACCTGTAGCCACTCCTTTGTTGTGTGGGCTGTGTGCCTAGGGTCGTTATGCTGTTGAAAAATTAACCGTCACCTCAGTCTAAGGTCAAGAGCGCTCTGGAACAGGTTTTCATCAAGGATGTCTCTGTACATTGCTGCATTCATCTTTCCTTCGATCCTGACTAGTCTCCTAGTTCCTGCGCTGAAAAACATCTCCACAGCATGATGCTGCCACCACCATGCTTCACTGTAGGGATGGTATTTCCCAAGTGGTGAGCGGTGCCTGGTTTCCTTCAGACATAACACTTGGCATTCAAGCCAAAGAATTCAATCTTTGTTTCATCAGACCAGAGAGTTTTGTTTCTCATGGTCTGAGAGTCCCTCAGGTGCCTTTTGGCAAACTCCAGGTGGACTGCCATTTGCCTTTTACTGAGGAGTGGCTTCTGTTTGACCACTATACCATACAGGCCTGATTGGTGGCGTGTTGCAGAGATGGTTGTTCTTCTGGAAGGCTCTCCTCTTTCCACAGAGAAACGCTGGAGCTCTTTCAGAGTGACCATCGGGTGCCTGGTTACCTCCCTGGCTAAAGCCCTTCTCCCTCGATCGCTCATTGTGGCCGGGCAGCCCGCTCTAGGAAGATTCCTGGTGGTTCCAAACTTCCATTTACGGATGATGGAGGCCACTGTGCTCATTGGGACCTTCAATATTGTAGACATTTTTCTGTACCCTTCTCCAGATCTGTGCCTTGATACAATCCTGTCTTGGAGGTCTACGGACGATTCCTTGGACTTCATGTCTTGGTTTGTGCTCTGACAAGCACTGTTAACTGTGGGACCTTATATAGACAGGTTTATGCCTTTCCTAATCATGTCCAGTCAACTACATTTCCCACAGGTGGACTCCAATCAAGTTGTGGAAACATCTCAAGGATGATCAATGGGAACAGGATGCACCAGAGCTCAATTTTGAGTGTCATGGCAAAGGCTGTGAATCTTTATGTACATATGGTTTGTTTGTTTTTTTTTGTTTTTTATTTATAATAAATTGCAAATATTTCAAAACTAACTTCTTTCACATTGCCATTATGGGGTATTGTTTGTAGAATGTTGAGGAAAAAAATGAATTTAATTCATTTTGGAATAAGGCTGTAACATAAAATGTGGCAAAAGTTAGGTGCTGTGAAAACTTTCTGGATGCACTGTAGTTTAGAAGTAGCTTGTTGATCTCCTTTCTGCTTGTGTTCCTCATGCCAGGACCTACATGTTGGAAAGGTTATAGCCCCTACCTTCATTACTTATGACACTTAATGGCAATTTTGATGGTTTAAGTTATGAAAATGTTCAGTTGCCTTTAGCAATGATTCAGGTACAGGTGAAAGAACTATAATTTTTTGGGTAGAAGAATGTTACATTGCAAATTGGGTCCCATACGAAATGTAGATTGTGCAGTCTTTGGAACAAATCCATACCTGAGTCCTACAGTTAAATAATAAAGCTTAACCGCTTATTTTTTAATTAATAACCCAGTAAAAGTAAAAACAGAAAAAGTTTTAGCTTTAATATTTCCCTTCAGTCCATAGCTTTCCCTACAGTAATTTCTTGCTGCCACTAGATATTTTTAGTCTTCAGAGTTAAATGACAGCCTGTGTCATTCTGCCCGCTTCCTCTGAGCCCAGGCTGTCATGCATCCATCCTCTGGGTCATTGTCCGTCATGAAGACTGGGTTCCAGAGTATTACTGCACTGAAATGTAATTACGTATGTGCCGTTCACTGCAGCAGAAAATACCTCTCTGCACTGCTGACAGAAGGAAGGAGGAATGACCTGGGATGTTTCATGATGTCATCGAACTGGCCA